CACTTAGAACATGCATTAAGCCCAGCCAAATACCCTATGGGTACTGCTGGGCTGAAATTGTTAGGACCAAAGACCAGACCGAGAAAATAATAATAATAATAATAAGGAAAAGCCTGAAACCCATTTCAGGGAAGGGAATACTGAGGCACGGATTATGGCTCCCCTTTTAAGCAAGCCAGTGCCAGGCAGAAATAGGGGACAACTAGAATATGTTTTTACCCACACCCCCTTCTCTGCCTCTGACCTAGTCATCTGGAAAAAGGATACCCCAGCATTCAGGGCTGATCCTCAAACAGTTATTAAAACCCTGAAATCTATCATAGACAGCCATAATCCATCCTGGGGTAACATGACTCAGCTGTTACAAGTCTTTCTAACGAAAGATGAACTATTAAAACTGTTTGAAAAAAAAACAAAAACAGACCAAATAGCCAAACCACCAACTATCCCTGGTCAGGCAGCCCCAGCCCGCATCGCATGGCCAATACATCGCCCTGACTGGGACTATAATGATACCAATCAATGGGACGAATACACTAGAGCAAAAGATAATTTATTAGAAGCTCTAGAGGAAATAAGAAAAAAATACTTTTAAACTAGTCTGAATTTAAAAAAAAAACAACACAAAGGGAAAAGGAAAACCCTGATGCCTTTTGGGTCCACCTGTCAGAAGCAGCTACTGCATATGCCCACCTAGACCTTAGCTGCCTGAAGGACCAAAGGATTTTAGCTTCAGCCTTCGTGGATCAGTCCACCTTAGATATTAAAGAACATTTCCACCGCTTCGTCTCTAACTGGCCAACCTTAGACATAGCAGAGTTGCGCAGGATTGCTAACTTTGTCTATGATCAAAGAGACAAGCTGAAAGAGGAAGAGAAAGATAGAAAGAGACAAATAGAAAGACAGGAAGACTTAAAAATATTTGCTATAATGAAACATGATGCCAGACAAACGCCAGGTAAAACCCCCTATAATTCAAAGAAATGCTGGCATTGCGATAAAGCAGGATGGACGCAAGGCAAATGTCAGCATTGTTATAGGTGCAGACAGGAAGGTCATTTCAGCAGGCAATGTAGGCAACACCCCTCCTGCAACCGGTATCACCCACCACCGAGGAACATGAGGCCAGCCAATAATCCAGTCCATTACACTGAGCAACAAAGTTTCAGTCACCAGGCACCACCCAGCGCTCCCTTTCCTCCAATAAATAATAACAATAGACATCAATGGGAGCAAAGAAGAGAACATGATTTACCCCTTTCTTGACCAGAGCATGACAATGAAAGCACTGAATTCATGGCCACCTTTAATGGACTACCTATCCCCCTAAAAAACGGCCCAGAAGGGGAACCCATTGTCACCATTCTTATGGGAGGAAAGAAATACAATTGCTTAGTTGATACTGGAGCCACCTCCTCATTTCTGAACCACCATATAAAGCTTCAGTGGCTGAAGGGGCTCGGGATAGCATAATGGGAGTGGGGGGAGGAATAATCCCTGTAGAATTTACCCACAACGTACCAGTAGAACTAGGACCTTTCACAGTAGACCATGCATTTACTATTTGCCCCCAGTCCCCACTGTCTCTACTAGGAAGGGATCTCCTATGTAAAATGGGAGCTACCATAACATGTGGCAAACAGGGGCTGCAATTGGAAATCCCAGGAAAAGGCACACACAAGACAATCATGCTGATAACCAGCAACACAGGGCTTCATGAAGATTTAAAAAGCCTGCCACCCTCCTTATGGGGCTGGGATGCATCCGAAATGGGACTACTTAAAGGAGCCATGGAGAGAGCAAACAAAGAGGTGAAGACCCTACTGGGCAAACTCTGTCAGGAGACACACCTCTCTTGGTCACAAGTGCTCCCAATTGCCCTCTTTTATATCAGAACCAGACCAAGACAAGATATAGGTATTTCCCGCTTTGAGATCCTTTTTGGTCACCCCCCCCCTACACATACCCTACAAAGCCTAGATCCTCATTCCCTTTGGTTAGATAGGGGGATAGAGTTTTCTATTCTTATCTTACAGCCCTGCAAAAGAGACTACAGACCCTCTGGACCCAGAGTGCGCTGACACAGACCTTACCCCTGGAAGAAGCCCTGCATCCATATGAGCCAGGAGATTGGGTGTGGATCAAGTTCTTCACCAGAACCTCCCCTCTACAACCCAGGTGGAAAGGACCCTACCAAATTTTACTGACTACACACACCGCCATAAAGGTTGCAGAACGAGACTCTTGGCTACATTGGACACATGCAAAGCCAGCAGTCATAGACCATAGCCAAACTCCACCACAATCAATCCCACCCATCAAACTCAAGAAAGATCAATGGACGCTTGCAGCATTCTTCAACACCGTTGAACCACACCACTGTGAGGAACCAAGTGCAAACGTTGCATTACACAAAACTGGACTCCCAGGTGCTGAGTTATAAACTTTTTTTTCTCTCACCTTCTCAATTTTTTCTCTTTTTTTAACCTTTTTTCATCGTATTTTTTTTTTAACAAAAAGGACTTTAACCATACCTTTCTCATATTTTTTGATACTTGACCTTTTACATTTTTTTACATTGCTTTCAACAAAATAAAGCTT